GACCGCGTAGAGCAGCTCCGCGTTCTCCGCGCCGATCGGCAGCGCCTTCACGAAGATGCCGTGGGGCGTCTTCTTGAACATGTCCGAGAGCACGAGCGTCAGGAAGCCGTCGGCGAGCTCGGCCTCGGGCACCAGCGACTTGCCGGCGAGGTCGCTGTACTTGAGCATGGCGCCCTGGAGGTCAGAACGCGTCGCGCCGCCGAGCAGGTAGGGCTCGCCGTCCTCGTACACGATCATCGACTGCTTGTTCACGTGCACCTTGTCGAAGGTGACCGCGACGACGCACGGGTCGACGCCCGCGGTCTTGAAGGTGGAGATCGCGCTGATGATGGTGTCGTTCGCGCCGAGCGTGAGCACGGAGCGGAGCGTGTACGGCGTCCCCGCGTAGTCCTTGAGCTGCTTGTAGGACGGCAAGAACACGAGGTTCTTGGACTTGATGTCCCAGCGCTCGTCCTTGGGCGTGGCCTGGCCGAGGAGCTCCTTGTACAGGGACTTGCCGATGCTCGGGTAGAGGCGCGCGATCCAGCGCAGGACCTCCTGGCCCTCGAAGTACGCGTCCCACGGCGCGGAGACCTTGTGGCCGTTGTGCTTGAGGATGACGAGGCACGTGACCACGAGGACGTTGTACGTGAGGGTCCTCTTGGGCAAGAAGGGCCGCGCCATGGGCCAGAGCTTGTCGAGGAGGTCGCCGTCGCCGTCGGCCTTGGCCTCGACGAATTTCTCAGTGACGCGGCGCGCGCGCGGCTCGTCCTCGTCGTCATCATCCATGGCCTCGGCGGGCTTCTTCTCCTTCTCGATGTCGTGCTCGCACTCGGCGAAGAGCGCGTCGGCCGTCCGCGCGGCGCCCGTGGGCCAGGGGCTCTGCGTCTTGTCCTTCATCGACGTCATCTTCAGCACGTCGCTGATGAACGTCTGGTTCGCGATGGTTCCCTTCTTGCCCGTCTTCTCGCACTTGAGCGGCGACTTGGACAGCATGGCCCGGAGGACGACGACCGCGCAGTCGCCGCAGAGCTTGTACTTGCCGCTGTCGCCGCTCTCGACGAACGAGTGCTCCTCCAGGCCCTTGTCGGTCATCGAGAACCGAATCGCGTGCTTGAGCTCGGTCTTGCTCGCGTCGTGGCTTGCATCGCCGTCGCAGGCGTGCCAGGCGGCGGTGGGGCTCGAACGGACGCGGCCGGAGCACGCGACCATGCTCGTCAGTCGACGCTCTCTAGCGCGCTCGGTTTCATGATCTTGAGTCCGAGCCTAAATAAATAAATAAATAATACGTTTTCCACGCCTCCCAGGCGCGTCCAAACGCGGTCCCAGCCCCAGATTTTAGGACAGGATCCCCGTCAGTTACCACCTCCGAGTAGGAACCCAAAGTTGCTTGGTTATAGGCGTCGCAGAAGTCGGAATTCATTTTCCGTCACCCCCCCCTTCAAGTTATTGAAGGGGACGCGCGCTCGACTGCGTCCGTCCGGGGAGGGGAGGCAGGCCCGCGGAGGGAACCAGGGCGAGTAGGCGCGGGCCGTCGTTGCCGTTCGCCGTCAGAAGAAACGCGAGAGAGGTAAGCACTCTTACGCGCTAAAGCCCCGGCGGGGGTTCGCCTCGCGGCGCGCGAGCGGCGCGCCCTCGTCCCCGGGGCCCCTCAGGGTTCCAGGGTCGTCCCTCCGAGCTCCCTCGAGCGCGCGCCGCAGGCGCAGGATCTCCTCGACGAGGGCCCGCTTCGGCAGGTCCGCGAGCGCGTCCGCGGCCGCGTCGCGCGGCGCGACGGCGACGGCCGCGGCCGCGGCCGCCGCGACCTCCGCGGCCGTCGGCCGGTCCGCCGGCCGGAGCGCGCAGCAGCGCCGCACGAGCGCCGCGACGGCCGGCGGCGCGTCTCTCAGCGCCGGCGCCGGGTCGCGGCTCCGCAGCGCCTGGAAGGCCTTGGCGCGCTCCATCGCCGTGCCCAGCGGCGTCGCGAGCTCGAAGAGCACGAGCCCGAGCGAGAAAATATCCACCCCCGCGCCGTAGGCCGCGCCCTTGGCGAGCTGCTCCGGCGCCGCGTAGGACGCCGTGCCGACGCCCGTCGTGTGGTTCCGGGCCAGGGGCGAGTCCTCGCCGGAGACCTGGCCGACCTCCTTGGACCTGTGCCGAATTCAAATCTTCAACCCGACTTCAATGTGCGCGTATGCGACCATTTCGACGCATGCTCTTCGGCCGTGCTTCGAGAACTCGATGAGGGCAATCGATTCGTCCAAAAATCAGCCGAATCGACTTCGATTTGACCGAGCTAGAGAATTCTCAAGTTTGGTCACCACCCAAACCAGTGGTGA